CGAGCGCTGGAGACTGCCCCCGCCCGGCGCGTCCCCGGCGGGCTAGGCCTGCTCCACGCGCACGCATCCCCTCACCTGCCGCCTGTGCGCCTAGGCTGAGAGTTTGGGGAGCGCTGCAGGCAGAACTCAGCCTTGGGGCGGAGCGCGCGCCCTTAATCAGTTTTTAGGGACTTGGCTTTACATTCGGGGGAAAAAAAAAACCAAATCACAGATTTTCAGACCCACGTGCCAAACACCGGGTTAATCATGAAACGTACTTTGTATCAATTAAGCCTCAGGATAACTCCATTTTGGTGATGAGCAAGCTGAGGCGCAGGGTTGTGACTTGGCCGAAGTCACACAGCTAGTAAATTACCGAGGTGGGGTTCAGCTCTGACTCCAAAACCAACGTTCTTAGCCTCGGTTGGTCTCATCTTGGCCAGAGCTCCGTAGTTGTGCGCCAGTATGGGTCGATTCCCCAGGGCATCCACAAGTGCAGAGAGCCCCTCCGCGGCGTCTTGCCGCACACGTTACCGTCTTGGGGTTGGGCACGTGTTTCGTGGCGCAGTCCCGTGTGCCAGAGCCCGGGGACAGGTATAGCCTGACGCACTGGTGTCCAGGTGCGCCATTCCCGGTTGGGTTGGGACCGGGCAGAGTCATACCGCGGGAGTCTGAGCCTGGGGCAGGGCGGAGCGGGGGCGGAAGGACCCGGGCCGCGCGGAACGCTGGGATATCTACTCTTAGGCGGGCGCGGGCCAGAGCGGCGAGGGAGGCGCGGGTGCCCTCTGGCGGCTGGCGGCGTTCTCCGCGGTCTCCCTGAGCATGCGCGGTTACCCCAGCGAGCGGCAAAGCAGGAGTGGGCCGCGTGGGCGTGGCTGTGGCTGCCGGGGCCCCAGACTCGGGTTGAATTCATTTCTCTTCACACACAGTAGGGACAGTTGGGAGGCGTCGGTTATGCGCGCTACCCTGACCTGACCAATACACACCGTGACCATGTGCTGAACCCCATGAATAGTACAACTGTTTGGTGTCCATTTAAAAAAGCGGGGCCAAGGTCTGGGAGGTAGCGTAGTGGTTAAAGTGCTGGACTCCCACATGGCTGACCGCGGTTCAAGTCTAGGACCTGGCAGCTTGCTTTCTCACTTTCCCTTTCTCTCGCTCTGTCCCTCTCTGGTCAAATTTAATAATAATAAATTTTAAAAAATAATAAAGCGGGGCAAGGAAGCTGAGAAGGGCCCTGGGGGCTGTCCTGGAGCCGGCGCAGGCCCGGTGTGCACATGATCCTGGCGTGCTAAGACGTGCTAGGACTGGGAGCGGATTGAGGCACAGAAACCCTATTGGGGGTCTCATTCTCTCTCATACCAAGCAAGTGGGGCTAGTGTTTCAGGGAGTGGGATCCTTCATGGCCGGCGCCTCCTCTAATCCCGACCCCTGCGTGCATGTGCACGCGTGTCCGTAACCCCGAGTGGTTGGAGAAATAGAGACTGGAGTGCCCACGGCCCATTGGGAGGTGCTTTGTCCCCCTCCCTCTCTGTCCCTCAGGCGGATGCATACCCCTGACAACTGAATATAGTATCGGAACCTCACTTCCGCCGCTTGTAGGCTGACTGCACCAGCACTGAACACTACCTATAGCACTATATAATACTAACCTAGGGTTTTTTTTTTAATTTAAAATAATTAATGAATTACATTTTTCATTATTATTTTTTTTAATTTGACCAGAGAGACGGAAAAAGGGAGAGTGAGCAAGCAAGCCACCAGGTCCAGGACTCGAACTGCAGCTGGCCATGTGGGAATCCAGCGCCTTTAACCACCACGCCACCTGTTGGCCCCGTTTTTTTTTTTTTAATTAAAAAAATTTTTTTTAGGCTTTTGTCATAGGACATGTGCACTCACTGGCAACAGTGAGAGAGCGCCCCCTGGGGGATGGCCACGCTGCAACCCCTTCAGGCTCCAGATTTCGCACACGTGCACCAGAGACCAGCGTGAATGTCAAGCTGCCAGGACTGGGACAGGGACTGTGGTCAGCCACGCCACCTGCTGGCCCGAGGTTTTCTCTTTCTCTTTCCTTATGTCCAAGAGACCGTCTTAGTCTGGAACTAGCTGGACTGGAATTAACCCTTCTTCCACCTGCTGCTTTTACTCTGGGTCAGCTCCTTAAACACTGAGCCACCTGCCACTAGGGAGGCCCCCCAAGAGCTAGTGTTTTCATAACATTGTATCCATTCTACCATTTTATGTTTACAGTTGCTTTCTGTAAACAGCACTCATTTATCATGGGGGGCATGTCAGTTTTTAATTAATGTGAATACTGGCCTTACAGTAGGGCGGCCTGGGCCTGGGTCCGAATCCCCTCCCCGCTTCTTCCGTTGACTTCTCTCGGCGTCAGTGTCCTCGTTGGCAAAATGGGAACGGCTGTGTCACCCTCCCCAGGGTATGAAGGTGCCCTGGGGTCCTGGAACCAAGTGGTTCAGAGCAGAACCGGCTTTTCCTACTGCACAGACTAGGAACTAAGTCTTACAGGTGCAGGGTTTTTAATTTTATTTAACTTTTATTCATTATTATGTTTGATATTCCCCGAGAGAGACACAGCGAGAAAAGGGAAAGTGAGAAAGCAAGCCTCCAGGTCCCGGACTCCGACCATGGTCGACCACATGGGAGCCCAGCGCCCCGAGAGTCCCTAGCCCACCTGCTGGCCCAGATGCACCAGACTTCCTGAAGGCTCCGAGTCTGCCTCCACTTCTCCACCTGGGACTGGGGCTGAGAGGCCTGGCTCCCTGCCCACTCCAGCGAATTGGAAGGACTGAGAACTTTGGACGACAGACGCGCCAGAGAAGGAGGGTTTTTATTAGGAAACGAGAGGCTGGCTCCAGCCCAGAATAGCTCTTTCCCCCTCCTCTGACTCCTCAGACCCTGCCGTGGGGAGGACTGCAGATCCCAGCTGGGGAGAGCCAGCCGGAGCTGGTTGAGCTCCCAGCTTGAATGCACAGAATAAATTGGGGACCTGGGGGCGCAGGCGGGAGACGGAGAGGGCTGTGTGACCTGGGGCCGGTCACCTCACCTCTCTGAGCGGCAGGTTTTCTCAAGTGCAAAACGGATTCAGTAGTCCCGCCCGGGCTGGCGGTAAAGACCCAGGCGAAGCCTTGGGGCCGCTGACAAGGCAGAGCCGGCTGCTCTCCAGATGCTTGGCTTTTCCGTGTCGAAGACGACTGGGGGCTGGGGCCACCCCTCAGAGGTGTGTCTTGTCAGCGTCCCGCCTCCCGGGACTGCAGGGCGGAGGGGGAGGCG